ATTAATAGGAGATAAAAGTTTCATTGACTTTCCTATAGTTGTTGGCTTTGAACTGTGATCTTCTGATCTCAGCCTCCCAAGTATCTATTGTTACAGATGTGAGCTACCAGTGCCCAGATTGTGGAAATGGTTTTCAAAAATGAGACTTGCTCCAAAGATGATGTAGGCTTTTGGCTAAAGCAAATGAAAAAATGGATGGTAGAGCTATTTATTGTGAGAAGATGGTAGGAAAACAAGTATGTTGTTCTAACAAGCAGCAAAAGGAATTACAAATTTTGTTTTAGGCATAATAATTTTGTTTTGCCACTGAGAGATACCTGGCTAACTGGAAATGTCAAGTAGAGAGGCTTTTAAGTGCCCAAGCCTGGAAAAAGCATTTTGAGTTGGAAATTGCATTTGGCAATTGCCAATAGGAAGGGAGTATTTAAAGCTTGGAAAGTGGGGACTATCACTAAAAAAGAGGCAGCCACACTGCCAAAACCTTGTTCTTACTATCCACATTGATCACTAGGTGTGGCCAAATACCACAGTCACTGTAATAGCTGTGACAAATATTTTATCTTTTTTTTGTATGTGTGTTACCTGAGGCTTGAACTTGGGGGCCTAAGTGCTATTGCTACAAGTTAGATTCCTAACTTCCATGATCAGACTTACTCTTTTCCTCCACAATTCCCTGCCTCAGTCATCTCTGAAGGTTCACAGTTCACAGTCAAGGAGCTTGCCTTGGGTGTTAGCTGCAAACCAGTTACCAACAAATCACAAGGCATGTTCAGAAGCAACCACCTTAGGTCTGCTGACTCCACCCAGGGTCTGCACTCTCTAACCCTGGATTCACAGCAGTGAAATCACAAATGCATGAACCAATCACAAGTTGATGAGCCAATGCTAATTGGCTGGGTGTGGCTGGGCATGGTTTGGATGTACTGATAAAACAACACTAAGGTGGCTTAGACAAGACTGTTTTGGAAGGGCTAGTGGCTCATGTCTATAATCAAAGCTACTTAGGAGGCTGAGACCTGAAAATGGTGGTTTGAAAGCAGACCAGGCAGGAAAGTCTGTGGGACTCTTATCTCAAGTTAACAACCTCCAAACCAGAAGTGGAGCTTTGGATTAAAATGGTAGAATGAGAGGCTTGAGCATAACAGCTTAGGGACAGCACCCAGGCCCTGAGTTCAAGCTCCATGACTGACAGAATGTCTGGTGTGTGTGTATGTGGTACATGTGTATCTGATGTGTGAATATATGTATATGTGCACATGCATGTGTGGTACGTGTCTACTATATGTCCATGGTGTGTATGTGTTACTTGCATGTCCTGTGTGTGTTTTCCATGTTTGTCTAGTGTGTATGTGTGTGTGCACATCTGTATGTGATTTCACTTTTACCTTGCACTCCACCTGCATTAAAAGTATTTTGAGGGCTAAGTGGACTCTATAGTGAAGTAGTAATTTTCCAAGATTTTTTAAAGGACATTTTGAATTGTCTGAATGACAGAGGAAGAGAAGAGAGTGTGCAAGATAACAGAGTTGTAAATCTAACACTTTAGAGGCCATCTTCCAGAGTAAGCTTGAAGAACTGGGTCTAAACCAGGTCCAGTGCTGTGCTTTGGTCAGCTATCTGTAAGAAATCCTCATTTGGCCAAAGGTATGGATTTCAAGAAAGAGAACAAGGCAGCAAGAATAGATTTAAAGGGGTCTGAGACACTTACACAACTTCTAGGCATCATTGCCATTTGGATTGCTGATATGTGCTGCCCCCCCCCCCTTTCATCTGTAGTAAGACCAGGAATTCATAAAATTGAAAACCATTAAGTAATAAGTGAAAATTACTAAAGGGCTTCAGCAGCAAATTTAGGCAAGCAGAACACACATGAACAGAGGAAAATGGAAATGATCCACCCTGAGTAGTGGGGGGAAAATGAAATGAATAGAATCTGAAGGACCAGCCTGTGGAACGCCACCAAGATGATAAATATATACATTGTTGAAGTCCCAGAAGAGAGAAGAAAGAAGAAATAAAAAATATTTGAAGGAGTAATGATCAAAACTTCCCAATTTTTATTTGAAGCATGAACCTTTATATTCAATAATTTAGCAGCTCAACAAACTTCAAATAGGATAAACTGAGATCACTAAGGCACATTGTAATTAAACCATCAAACCTCCTAAATCACACACAATTCATCTCACACAAGACATCTTCAATAAGATTATGTCCAATTTTTCATCAGAAACCAAGGAGGCCAACAGACAGCAAGGGCAGCCAATTTACAATGCTAAAAGCTAGACTAGACAGAAAAATCAGTGTGGTCTCATCTTCAATAACCAGCAAAATACCAAGCGGTGTGCTTCAAGTGATAGAGAACTAGTGGAAACAAGAAAGCCAAACAAAGCGAGGCATACCTAGGATTACCTGTAATCCTAGAATTCAGAAGGCTGAGATGTAAGGATCATGATTCAAATGTACTCATTACCTTGCTCAAGTAATTGTAACCCCTCTGTACGGTATTGTCACAATAAAAAAATTAAAAATTGCTCTGGCCCCATTAAAAAAAAGCCAGCTTGGGCAGGAAAATCAATGAAACTCTTATCTCCAATTAACCACAAAAAAGAAAGAAAGGAGCGAGAGTAGAACTGTGGCTTGAGTGGTAGATCACTGCTCTTGGGTAAAAAAGCTCAGGGACAGGGACTCAGCCTTGAGTTCAAAGCCCAGAACCAGCATTGAAAGAAAGAAAGAAAACAAAAGAAAGAAAGAAAATGGAAGGAAGGAAGGAAGAAATAAAGATGAAAAAGAAACAAGAGCACAACTTCAAGCCCCATCATGTGTGCATGCGCGCATGCACACACACACACACACACACACACACACACACAAGTTGCAATATAAGCTATAATAAGGTTATGTTGAGTAAATCTAAATAAGTCTTTGTTGTTATGAAACAACAATTATAAATGATAACTGGTTACAGATTTTTTAAAGAGAAGTAGTAGGTTACAAACAGAGGCCCTAGCTTCAAACTATATCCCTCTTGCTCAGCAGGGGATCTAGCACTTGAACCCTAGCCCTTGTCTTTCATCAATTTGAACATATCAACTCACTGACTTTGTATTACAAAGCAAGAATATAATGGAAAATGATTTGTTTTACCTCATAGATGGAAGTAACGGTCAGTAACTCCTAGTGGAATTGTAGATTCACCAGAAGTTGCTCATATTTCTACCACCAGGTGAAATGGGAGAGAATGGAAAGAGGCCCCTGTTATCCAGTGACCCCAGTGCAGGTAATCATGAATAAAAGGAAAGAAATGTACATGCAAATGATGGAAATCCACAGAAAGCAGAGAAAAGCAGCCTGTACCTCACTTCACCTCCTGACTCTGCCCAAACCTATCCATGGCTTAACCCTTCTTGGTCATATTTGTCTCAATGTATCCTTCCTTTCTTTCTTCTTCCTTTCTTTCTTCTTCCTTCCTTTCTTTCCTTCTTTCTTTCTTTTTTCACTTTCTCTTTCTTTCTTTCTTTCTTTCTCTTTCTTCTTTCTCTCTTTCTTTCTTTCTTTCTTTCTTGCTCTCTTTCTCAATTGTGGGGCCTGAACTCTGGGCCTGGGCGCTGTCCCTCAGCTCTTTACCTCAAGGCTAGTGCTCTACCACTTGAGCCACATCGCCACTTCCAGATTTTTCTGCTTATGTGTTGCTGAGGAATTGAGCCCAGGGCCTCATGCATGCAAAGCAAGCACTCTACCAGTGAGCCACCTTCCCAGCCCCTCAATGTATCCTTTCTTATCAATACCTCCTGTGCCACAGCTACAGGTTTCAAGTTTCAAGGGTTGGTGTGTTTTGTGATTTCATCTTACAGCCTTTTAATTTTAAATCATTTTCTCAAATTATGTACAAAAGGTTTTGAGTTGTTTTCTTTAAAAATTAAATGAAGTACTATTCCACCAAGCATGAATCAGAGTGATTTTTTCCACTCCTGGGACTTGAATTCAGGGTTTGGGCACTGTCCCTGAGCTTCTTTTGCTCAAGGCTAGTGCTCTACCTTGCATCATAGCACCATTTCTGGCTTTTTTCTGTTTATGTGGTACTGAGGAATCAAACACCGGATTTCATGCATTCTAGGCAAACACTCTACCTCTAAGCCACATTCCCATCCCCAGGGTGTTTCTTAAAGTAGATGTGACTCTGACAGGTTTTGCCTCTGGCATGCCTAGGACTTAATTATGATCCACCATGGTTTCACAGGTAGTTGGAGCAAGTTCCAGGACCTAACTACAAGAAGGCTCAGGTTCTTGTGCCTGGATTCCTGCGACATTATCACTGCATGAGTAGGTCTTAGAATCTTAAGGCCTTGGAGGAGGAGGGAGGAGCTTGGCCACTGTCCTCACAATTCCTGAAATGCTCCCATGATGATGGCCATAGCAGTCCACCTTGGGCCCACCTGGAGTCTTTGACAACAGTCCTAGAGGCCTAGAACTGGAGAAGGGGTCCATGCCTGGCTGTGATTAGTCCATTCCTTGCTGTCACTGGGCCTGCCTGTGATTGGTCCATTCCTCTCTGATGTCATTAGCCCAGCTCAGATTGGTCCATTTCCTCATTGACCTCACATGCCATGCTGAGGTCCCTGCAGGGGTTACAGAAGGCAGTTAGTTGCTCTGCCTTTTCAGTTAGAGTGCTGAGAGCTCTCCTTTGGATGACCTACTCGACTAAATCAAAGCTAGGTTGATGCTTTCTTTGGGGGAGGGGGAAGAAGGGAGGTTTTGTGTTGTTGGGGTTGGGAATTTTCATTATTTTGTGGTTTAGATTGTGCTAATTTCAGTTAAGATATGCTACCACCAAATTGATTTCGCTAAGTTTAATTAAGATTTGATACCCACAACATTGACTTCACTAATTTTTGATAAGATTTGCTACCTGCCATGTTTATTTAGTTAAGTATAGTTAAGATTTACTATCCACTATATTTTGTTAGTTAAGGTTGACTCCCTTGTCATTGCATCAGAAAATGGAGTCAAAGGACAGCGAATACACTATGTTCTCCTCCACGGAGGAAGAAATATTTGCCCGCCAGTACCACGTACAGCAGACCATTGGCTATGGAACCTTTGGACAGGTGAAGAAGGCCTATCACTGCCTCACAGACAGTGAGGTAGCAGTAAAAATACTGGGGAAAGAAGAGTACCCTATGCTGGTGGACAATGAAGTAGAAATTGTTAAGGCTCTGAATCACCCTCACATGATCAGGGTGTACCAAGTGATCCAGGGAGAAGAATATGTCTACCTGGTGATGGAGATGGCCACCAAGGGTAACCTCCAGATGTGGATTGAAGAATCAGGGCACCTTTTTGAGGCTGAAGCCAGGAGGTTTCTGAAGCAGATAGTAAGTGCTGTGCAGTACTTTCATGTGAATCAGATCGCACACCTTGACCTAAAGCCTGACAACATCCTACTGGATGGAAATGGTAACGCTAAGGTCAGTGACTTTGGGTTAAGCATGAGGATTGCCCCAGGGCAGCTGCTCACAGAAATTCGTGGTGCCTATGTGTACCGTGCCCCTGAAATATACCTGCGACAACAATATAACGGCTTTAAGGTAGATGTCTGGTGCCTGGGCACCATCTTGTTGTTTATGGTTACAGGAAATTTCCCGTTTAAAGGGAGCACTTCCAATCAGCTATGTGCAGAAATTGTAGAGGGCAGGTATGATGTGCCATCTCACCTGACTCCCAAAGGATGTAACATCCTTTGGCAGCTCTTAACAGTAGACCCACAACAGAGGCCAGATATACATCAAATTATGGTACACCCATGGTTTGATCAAGTTGAGGAAGGCTGTCTGTATCCAGAGGAGCCACTGCCCGACCAGTTGGACCCAACAATTGTCACTAGAATGTGTGACATGGGATACAGTAAAGCACAGATAAAAAAATCAGTACTGCAGAGAGCATTTGATGATGTGATGGCCACTTACTTTATGATTAAAGATGGCCTAGAGGCAGTGAGGGTCAGTCAGGTGAAAGCTAATTCAGAGTACTTGGATTTTCAAACACATACACCTGCCTTCCTTCTCTATAGGAGAGCAAATTTACCTTACCTGATTCATTCTCTGCCATTACCATCTCAGTTTCTGCTGACCTGTGATGAGAAACAGAGGACAGGCAGAAGTGCCTCCCTACCTGCCATTCCCCTCTGCTTCCTACAGACAAACTCCAGTCCCAGAATCATCTCACAGCATGATTTGGTGCCTGCATTCTACTGCTTCTCCCTCCCAAAGAGCCATGAGGGGAGAGAGAGCAGCAAAGCAAATGCAAAATCCCTGCCCTCTGCACAGCCCCAGGATGAGAACAGAGTCTGGAGGCTTAGCAAGAGTCAGAGCTGTAAGGAACCTGGAATGGGGCTTAGGAGATATTCCTGGTATGGAAGTAAAGAGCTGCCAGGGGAGGCTGAACAGAAAGTTGACATTGCTGTGATCCCAGCATACTCAGCAAAGACCTCTGGCTGCTCTTGTTTTGGGCATAGAGATAGCACATCAGAGGAATATGTTCTTCCCTCTGGGCAGTCCCAGAATGATAGCAGAGACTCTGGATCAAGAAGGAAACGGGGCAGGAAGGGACTATTTACCCGGATAACCAGTGCTCTTAGAAAATTATGCTGCTGTCTGCAAGCCCAGTAACAGACCAGCTCCAGAAAGAGCCCTGAAATTCACCAAAGAACAGGAAAATACAAGACAAAGTGAATTTGAGTCTGCACATTTTCAAACCCATTAGAAGACTGTTGTGATAGTCACAAATTGTACTGCCTGAAAACATTTAAAACTGATTTTCTTAGAAAAGAAAGTGAATGTCTTCCAAAGACCAAACAGAAACAACTATCGTAAAGAAAAAATTAAGGTCCAATTGTTTGTGGTTGCCTGAAATGCTGTCCTCTTTGTATTCTCCATCGTTAGCTCACTTAGGATGAATTGGCAGGTATAGTGTGGAGGTGTTTATGTTACCTCTTTAAAACTAGCTAAAAGACCTGATTTTTAAGTTTGAATTTATTTTTAATTCTAATTTTACTTATAGTGTGTAGTCAAATCCCAATTCTCTTCATTTAGAAATGTATAAAGTATAAGTATATGTTTATGCATGTAAGTATCATGTAACTACATCCTTCCTTTAAAATCTAAAAACAAAAAAAAAAAACAAAAAAAAACAAAAACAACAACAAAAAACAAAAAAACAAAAAAAAAAAAAAACCTTCATGTACCAAAACAAAACAAAAGAGAAAAAAACAGCATAAATCATTGCTGGTGAAAATCTTGAATTCTGCACAGCCTGTCTTGTGAGTAAGTACCTCAAGAGTGATTGCCACTGCCTGTGCCCACCACCATCCCTTCCCCCCAAAACCTCCATGCCTAGACATAGAACACAAGGGAAAGAAGAAAAGTTAGAGTACAAAACAATCAGTTCTCTCAAGGCTGCAAAGCCCAAGGGATCAGAGAACGAAGTTCCATCTCAATGTAAGTTGTACATTTTCACTTCTGAACAACTGACCTCCCTGACAGAAAGGGAAATGAAGATTTTATTTTGGGTGGTGTTGGTGTTGGTTGGGGTAAAGTTGTGGTCAGGTCAGCTTGGTTTTACTTTAATTTTATTTGATTTCCTTCCTTCCTTCCTTCCTTAAAAAAATCTTAGTTTTTCATTGAATCTTATTAAACAACTCTTTCAGGGTTTTTTCTTCCTGTTTTCCAACTCATTTTCTTTCTCTCTCTTTTTTTTCTGGTGGTCATAGAGCTTGAAATCAGGTCTAGGGCACTGGACCTGAGCTTTTCTGTTCAGCTCCCTAGTTGTTGTTTTTTGTTGTTTATTTTGTGTATGTGATTTTTGTAGGTTCCAAGTCTCCTGGATTTTCCCATCTGGGAAAAATTCTAAGATTCACAACTCTAAGCCTCCTAAGAATCTACGTTTATTGGCATGACCAAACATCACTCTGATCTCTAAGATGTTTCAGGGGCTTTTTTTCTTCTTTTACCCTCCTTTTCATTTAATTTATTACTTTTTTTCTTTTTCTTTTTTTTTGTTATGGGGAGGAGGGCTGCTGATCCTATGGCTTGAACTCAGAATTTTCCTTTTGTTCTGAGTTCTAGCAGACACTACAATTTGAGCTAAAGTTCAACTGTTGACTTTTTTGTTTTTATTTGGATGCTGATCCACCTGGTCCTAAGGAATAAACTCAGGGACTGCCAACTTTTCCTGAGGTTTTTGTTAGCTTTTCTTTTTGCCCAAGTTTACCAGCCTTTATACCTTAAGCCAGAACTAAACTTCTGACCCTTTTTTGTTTGGTTTTTTTTTTTTTGCTTTTGGTCCTGGTAGATGAACTCAGGGCCTAGCCACATTACCTAATTTTTTTCTGGACAAAGCTAGCAGGTTCTACAACTTTAGTCAGAAGAGCCTCATCACTGTCCATGAGTTGTTTTTTGTTTTTGTTTAAATGCTTAAATCAAGGAAGGTGTACAATTGGAGACAAAACTAGGTTGTTGAGGTATTTTTTAGAGCCTGCAAAGCTAGCAGGCTCTAATCTTTGAGCCAAAGCTCAACTTCTGACTTTTTTTTTACTTTTGGTGGATAATCAGAGGTAAGTGGGGGGGGGGGGGGGGCCGGGCGGGAGGATGATGGGAAGGGATGGGAAGGGGGAAACAAAGGAAGAGGCTACAATGCTTGATAAGAAATGTGCTCATTATCTTGCCTATGTAATTGTAACCCCTCTGTACAGTATTTTCACAATAAAAAATAAAAATAAAAAAAGAATCCCATGAATAGCCAAGAGCAAACAGAGAGGCTTGAAAATAAGGATCTCAATTTGAAACCAGACTGGGCAGGAAAGTCCTAGGAATTCTTATCTCGAATCAACCACCAAGACACAGAAAGTAATAGAGCAGTAGCCATGAGCAAAACACCTCAAATTTAAACCCCAAAACACCTCAAATTTAAACCCCAGTCTGAACACATTAAATCAGGTCTAAAAGAATTTCATGTCCGGGCTGGTTTTGAAGGATCGTCAGATTTCACATACCATGAGCAGCTTGGAATACAGGTGTTGAGTGTTGATTTAAAATTTTTTCAACTGACTCTTCTTTGCATTCCTTTTAGTTCTTCTTTTTGTTGTTGTTAGAGGAGGTTTTATGGCTTATTATTAAAGGCCTGCCCACTTGCTCTGACGCTCCTTTTTTATCTGTTTCTCTCTCAAGAAGGTTGGACATCCTGAGCCACAGCTCAAATTATGTTTCTTTATTGTTGCTTGTTTTGTGGAAGTTCTAGGGCTTCAACTCAGGACATGGACACACTGTCTTAGATTTTTTTCTCCCTGGAAGGCTAGCAGGCACTACTACTTCAGCCACAGCTCAGCTTCTACCTTTGTTTCTTATCCTGGTGCTTAATAGGAGATGATTGTCTCTAGGGCAGCAACGAACACTACTCACTATCATAAAATCTGGGGATTGTGGTTCAAAGCCAGTCTAGGTAGGCAAGTCCATGAGACTCTTATCTCGAATTAACCACCAACAGGCTGGAAATAGTAGAATTCTAGCCTTCAAAAAAACACCTCAAATTCAAGCACCCATTACACACAGAAAAAAAGGCTCATGGACTTTCCTGCACATCAGGATGGCTTCTAACAAAGATCCTCAGGATTACAGGTGTGAGAGTACATGTTAAAATCTTCAAATAACACTTTTTCACCCATACATTTCTTTTTTTGACTGTTAGGGCTTTGCCACTCTGAGTCTGTTTTTCATTGCTTATTCTCTCGAAAATAGCTAGCTATACAATTTAGGTGAGAAATCATCTACTAGATTTTTTTTTGCTTTTATCCTACGACTAAAACTCGGGTGACAACCAATGACTCCTTTTTGCCCTTTTTAGTGGAGTTTGTAGTAGTGGGTATTAGGAAGTGATATTAAGGCCTGTTGAAGTTCTTGGAGTATTTTTTCCCCTCAACCTTGCAGGCTCTACTGTACAGTCATAAGTCAACTTCTGGCTTTTTTTCTTTTTCTGGGAGTTAATAGGAGATAAAGGTGGCATGGACACCCAAGGACAACACACCATATCCTATAATCTGAGGATTGTGGTTCAAAGCTAGCATGGGCAAGAATGTCCATGAGGGCTCTTAGCTCCCATCAACCACCAAGGGGCAGAAAGTAGTAGAGCTCTATGCTCAAAGGAAACACCTCAACCTCCAGCATACCCATCTCATACAGGAAAACAAGCCTGCTAGACTTTCCTGCCCTGTCTGGATTTGAACCATGATCGTGAGATTTCACCTAACTTGAGCAGGTGTGAGATGATTATAAAATATTTACTTGGCTCTACTTTGCCTTCCTTTTCAATTATTCTTCTCTCTGTTAATGTTAGTCAAGGTGTTATGACTTGTAATTAAAGGCTTGGCCATTCTCCCTAAGTTCCATTTTTATTTATCTCTCTGTTGAAAGAAGGCTTCACACCTTGAGCCTGAGCTCCACTACTGTTTCTTTATTGTTGTTTTTAAGGAATATCTCAGGGTTGAAATTGGAGCATGGACAATTTGTCAGATTTCATTTCCTCATGGGGAGCAGGCACTACTACTTCATCTACAGCATGGCGTCTGTCTTATTTTCTTTTTCTGGTGCTTAAAAGGAGATAAGAAAATCATGGGCAGCCAAAGTCACTAAACAATATCCTAAAATCTGACAATTGAGGTTCAAAGCTAGCTTGGCCAGGAAAGTCTATGAGGCTCTTATCTCCAGTCAACCAGGTAGAGGCAGGAATCAGTGGAGATCCAGGTTTGAACAAAACACCTCAACCTCCAGTGGACCCATCTCAACCTGGAAAACAAGCCTGCTAGTCTTTCCTGCCCAGGCTGGATTTGAACCACGATTGTGAGATTTCACCTACCTTGAGCAGGTGTGAGATGGTTTTAAGATATTTAATTGGCTCTACTTTGCCTTCCTTTTGAATTATCTTCTGTTTGTTGATTTTAATGGAGGTCCAATGGCGTTTTCATCAAATGCCTGACCACTCTGGCTGAAGCTCCCTTTTTTTATCTGTCTCCCTGTCTTTAGCGAAGGCTTCACACCTTTAGTTTGAGCTCACTTGCTGTTTCTTTAATGTGATTTTGTGGAATTGCCCAGGTTTGAACTTGGAGCTTGGGCAATTTGTCCTAGATTTTTTTTCCCCTCATGGCTAGCAGGCTCTAGTCATTGATGCACAGTATAGCTTCTGCCTTATTTTCTTTTTCTTGTGGGTAAAAGGAGATAAGAATACCATGGGCTGCCAGAGTCACTACGCAGTATCCTAAAGTCTAACAATTGTAGTTCAAAGCCAACCTGGGAAGGAAAGTTCATGAGGCTTTTATCTCCAGTCATCCAACAAGAGGCAGGAAGTAGTGGAGTAATAGCCTTGGACAAAACACCTCAAGCTGGATCCCACTCAAGACACACTGAACAATAAATCTCATCGACTTTCCTGCCGAGGCGTGCTTTGAACCATGATCCTTAGATTTCACCCACCATGAGCAGGTCCAAATTACAGCCCTCAGGATTACAGGTGTGAGTCAGCATGTTAAAATCTTTAATTACCTCTTCTTTCTCCTATTTTTTCATTGATTTATAGGTCTTGTTTATGGCTGGTATTTTCAGGGCCTTGCCAGTCAGGCTCG